GAGTTTGAGACAAGCCTGACCAACATGGTGAAACTCCTAAAAGTCTCTACTAAAAGTATAAAAATTAGCCAGGTGTGCTGGCAGGCACCTGTAATCTCAGCTACTCAGGAGCCTGAGGCAGTAGAAAAGCTTGAACCTGGGAGGTGGAGGTTGCAGTGAGCTGAGAATGCTCCATTCCACTCCAGCCTGGATGACAAGAGTGAGACTCTCTCTAAATAAATAAATGGGGCTGGGCGTGATGGCTGATGCCTGTAATCCAAGCACTTTGGAGGCCAACGTGGGCGGATCACCTGAGGTCGGGAGTTCAAGACTAGCCTGACCAACATGGTGAAACACCGTCTTTTAAAAAATAAATAAAATTAAATAAATATAATATATAAAAAAAGGCCAGGTGTGGTGGCTCATGCCTGTAATCTTAGCACTCTGGGAGGCTGAGGCGGGCAGATCACCTGAGGTCAGGAGTTCGAGGCCAGCCTGGCCAACATAGTGAAACCCCATCTCTATTAACATACAAAAGTAGCTGGGCATGATGGCAAGTGCCTGTAATCTCAGCTACTCGGGAGGTGGAGCCATGAAAAATCATTGAACCTGGGAGACAGTGGTTGCAGTGCACTGAGATCATGCCACTGCACTGTAGTCTGGGCAGCTGAGCAAGACTCTGTCTCAAAAAAATTTATATATATATAATAAAAATAAATAAAAATGAGGCCGGGCATGGTGGCTAACGCCTGTAATCCCAGCACTTTGGGAGGCCGAGGCGGGTGGATCATGAAGTCAAGAGATCAAGACCATCCTGGTCAACATGGTGAAACCCCGTCTCTACTAAAAATACAAAAATTAGCTGGGCATGGTGGCATGTGCCTATAATCCCAGCTACTCAGGAGGCTGAGGCAGGAGAATTGCCTGAACCCAAGAGGCGGAGGTTGCAGTGAGCCGAGATCACGCCATTGCACTCCAGCCTGGGTAACAAGAGCGAAACTCCATCTCAAAAAAAATAATAATAAAATAAATAAATTTTAAAAAATGAACTTTGGAAAAAGGCACAGTTCTCCCCCGTAATGGCATCTTAATTATATCAGAGTCTAGCAAGTTCTAATGTTGCATTGAACTTAGCACAGAAAGTCAACACCAGAACAAAAGTATGCCAAATTGCAGGGTTTATTGCCGGCGACCACGGAGGACTCATGTCTCTCCAACCCATGGCCGAGAAAGAAGAGTAACAAGACCTTTTTATACCCACAAAACCACCTTGGGAGTGGGGGTGAGGAACGGAGATGGGAATGAAAGCTGTCAATCACCTCCTAGGCTGAGAGGAGGGTGAGGGGGCTCCAAATATTCCAAGGGCCAGGGGACTTTTGTCATTCCAATTGCCACTTAAGTGGTTTACAGAGGTCAAGATAAACATTAGTTTATACATTATTTGGACAGGTGTGGGGTCCACATAATTTTAGGTTACTTGGCGCCAGGATGGAATTATCTGGGGGTGCTTACTTTGGTAAACAAAGGCCAGCAATTCTGGCAGTTACAGATAAGAGAAAGTATGCAGCTTGTCCTCTCTTTGCATTTTGCCAGGTAATCTTAGTAGTTTACAGAAGCCATGGCTAGCAGTCATTGTGAGGAGAATGGAAACAGTTTTCCCATTTTAAAATGGCATTGTACTGGTTCTAATTCTAGGCCAGCTATATCACACTAACACACTGTTTTTTGCTTTTGAACAGGGTTTCCCTGTGTGGCGCAGGCTGGAGTACAGTGGCATAATCATGGCTCCCTGCAGCCTTGACCTCCTGGACTCAGTCAATCCTCCCACCTCAGCCTCCCAAGTAGCTGGGACTACAGCTGGCGTGTGCCACCACATCCAGATAATGTTTTTTGTTTGTTTCTTTCTTTGAGACAGAGTCTTGCTCTGTCGCCCAGGGTAGAGTGCAGTGACATGATCAAGGGTCACTGCAACCTCTGCCTCCCAGGTTCAAGTGATTCTTCTACCTTAGCCTCCTGAGTAGCTGGGATTATAGGCACACATCACAACAATCAGCTAATTTTTTATATTTTTGGTAGAGACGGATTTCACCATGTTGGACAGGCTGATCTTGAACTCCTGACCTCAAGTGATCCACCCGCCTCGGCCTCCCAAAGTGCTGGGATTACAGATGTGAGCCACAGCACCCGGCCATTTTTTTGTGTTTTTTGTAGAGACACAGTTTTACCATGTTTACCCAGGCTGCTCTTGACCTCCCAGCCTCAAGCGATCCACCCACCTCAGATTCCCCAAGTGCTGGGATTATAGGTGTGAGCCATTGTGCCCGACCAGTTCATCTTTCCAGCAGACATTTTCCTGAGCAGCCTTTAGGTGTCAGGTCCTTTGCTGCCCCCTGGAGTGACCTGTAGGTAGGACGACCGCACTGGCCTGTAATTAGTGCTACAGCGGTGAAGACGGACAGGGTGTAGGGGTGGCCTATGGGAGCCCAGAGGTGGGATCACACCCAGTCTGAGGAATGCAAGTAAGCTGAGATTTCTAAGTTGAAAGCTGAGCGCTGAAGAGGAGTTCGCCAGGAACAGGATGGACAGGAGAAAGTGTTCCAGAAGAGGAACCCTGTGCCCCTTGAGGCCTGGAGTGAGAGCTGTTGGTTCTTGAAAGAACTGAAAGTTCAGAGTAGCTGGAGGAAAGGGGGAAGGGTGGCTGGAACAGTCCAGGTGCCAGACCCCCAAAGGCATTGCAATGTGTATGAAGGAGTAAGGTCTACTTGCCCCTTCCCCAATTTGCCAAGTTCCCAAGCTCCCCTAAGTTTTGAACTTGGTGAGTTCAGAGTGGAGTCTGACAATAAAGCCAGGGAGTGGGTGTGGAAAGTGGGGACTAGGGGGCCAGGACGGGCTTCTCAGGAGAAAAAGCTGATTTGCCCTCTAGGCCTGGTTCTCTAGAGCCTCCTCCCCAAAGTTGAGGAGCTGCTGCCAAGCATGTAGGTGCTGAGCCTAATGCTGGGTTTCCTTCTCTTCCCAGACTGGGATTTAAGGTAGAGCCCAGGCTGTCTGATCCCTGCCAGGGGCCAGCACTCAGGCACAAAATAAAATCCCATCTGGGCTTTCTTGCCCTCTTCCTATGCCTTCCTCAACTGGCTGGGTGGGCCCACCCCCGGCTGGGGCTGTGAGCTTATTCTCTTGTCTTCCTGTTCTGTCTTTTGTTGTTTGTTTGTTTGTTTAGCCGGAGTCTCGCTCTGTCACCCAGGCTGGAGTACCATGGTGCAATCACAGGTAACTGCAGCCTGGACCTCCTGGCTCAAGCAATCCTCCCACCTCAGCCTCCAAGTAGCTGGGATAGAGGCATGTGCCACCAAGTCCAGCTAATTTTTTGTATTTTTTGTAGAGACGGGTTTTGCCATCTCTAAACCCTGGCTGGTCTCAAATTCCTGGACTCAAATGATCCCGCCTTGGTCTCCCAAAGTGCTAGGATTATAGTCATGAGCCACTGCGCTTGGCCCAGAATCTCTTGAGTGTCAGATCACAGAGACCAATGGAGGAGGGTCAAGAATGAGAGATGCCAGGTAAGGTTAGGACTTGGGAAGGGCTATTGGCTTCAGCAATAAGGAGATGGCAGGTGTCCTTGGTGGGTGCAGAGGTGGAAGGGATAAAGCCAACCTAAGATAAGAGATGTGCTGATAGCCACATAGCACTTCCCACCTAATGTTCACAACCACTCCATGCCATAGGCATTATCATCCCTATTTCCCCATGGGGAATTTTTTTTTTTTTTTGAGACAAAGTCTTGCTTTGTCACCCAGGCTGGAGTGCAATGGCGTGATCAGGGCTCATTGCAACCTCCATTTCCCAGGTTCAAGTGATTCTCCCACCTCAGCCTTGAGTAGCTGGGTTTACTGTGTCTGCCACCAAGCCTGGCTAATTTTTGCATTTTTAGTAGTGACAGGATTTTGCCATGTTGGTCAGGCTGGTCTCAAACTCCTGACTTCAAGTGATCCGCCTGCCTTGGCCTTCCCAAAGTATTGGGATTACAGGCATGAGCCACTTTTTAAATTCACATGGGAATTTTAAAAGTTCAATGGCTTACCTAAGGTCACAAAGCTTGATGACCATGGCAAAGCCTGGACTTAGGAACCTGGGCAGTGTGGCTCCAGAATCCATTTCACCACCAAGCCATACAACCAGCTCTCAGCTGTGAGGACGGGACAGGGGCATGGGTGGGCAGGGCCAATAGGGAGGGAGAGGCAGAGCTGGAGGATAAGGAAAGGTGGGGCAGGTGATTTATGGGCTGAGTGGTTCCCTCTCCTGTACCATAAACCAGGGGACTGGTCAGCAGCTGAGAAGGAAGATAAGGTGATTCAGCAGGTAGAGACTGGGTGGGCCTGGGGACCGCCCTCTTCCTCTGGCAGAGGCTTTAGGTCATGCACTTTTATCCCTGGCTCTGTGGGAAATTCACAGACCACAGGGCTGGTAACAAGCAGAGGTGTGAGGGCCACAGGTGCGGGTGGGGTGCAGGATTGAAATGCAGCCAGCCGGGCTTCCTGGAGTAGAGCTGTCAGGGAGACATGGCCTGAGCTCCTGCACTCCCAGGACCTGGCTTTCCAAGTCCTGAAACATCTTTAAGTGGTAAGCAGCCCAGAGGGTCTAGGAAAGTCACATATAGCAGCATGGGAATGAACTGCCTGGCCATGATGCCTGAGGCCCAGGAGCTGGTATATCATCCTCCCCAGGTCGGTCAGGCAGTCAGGTCCTGGACACACACACACACACACACACACACACACACACACACACAGTTTCTCTCTCTCTCTCTCTCTCTCTCTCTCTCTCCCTCTCTCCTATTCTTTCTTGACATGGGAAACCCAGAAGAACATAACTCCACTTCCAGTAAGGCCATGACCTTGGCTCATCTGGGAAATCACAAAATAGCAGGGGTGGGGTGGGGGAACAGATGTCTTTCATTTTAAAAGGGACAAGAGAAACAGAAAAAGGAAGAGGGGGTGGAGGGAGGCAAGAAGGAGGGAAGGATGAGAAGAAGAAAGAAAGAAAAATAAGCTTGCTTGGTTTCAAGTCCTCCCCAGCTGTTTTTTGTTTGGTTTGTTTTTGTTTTGAGACAGGGTCTCGCTCTGTCACCCAAGCTGGAGTGCAGAGGCTGTATCATGGCTCACTGTAGCCTCAAACTCCTGAGCTCAAGTGATCCTCCCACCTCAGCCTCCCAAGTACCTGGGACTACGGCACACACTACCACACCCAGCTCACTTAAAAAAAAAATTTGTAGAGACAGGTCTCACAATGTTCCCCAGGTTGGTCTCAACCTCCTGGGCTCAAATGATCCTCCCACTTCAGCCTCCCAAAGTATCAGGATTACAGGCATGAGCCACTGCAGCCTCCTAGCTTTACTTAAATGAATCAGATTCAAAACTGTTCTCAGGTGTCTCATGGGCTAGAGGGGAGCTTGCCCTGTAAACAGATCCTAGACCACTGTGGTTAACCGCTGCAAGAGAGAAAACCCATAGAGCTTTGAGGAGGAAGTTGGGGAGATCATGGAAGGCTTCCTAGAGGGTGCTCTGAGCTGCACCTTGAAGAAACAGTTAAAAATGAGCGAGGCATATACACCTACTATGCACTCACAAAAATTAAAATTAAAAAAAATTAAAAATGAAGTAGGCAGAGGCTGGTGATGAGGGTAGAGGTGGGTAAGTCTCAGAAGGTCTCGAGTATCCAGCTTAAAAGCCAGGACCCGGCTGGGCGTGGTAGCTCACGCCTGTAATCCAAGCACTTTGGAGGCCAAGGCAGGCAGATTACCTGAGGTCGGGAGAGTTCATGACCAGCCTGACCAACATGGTGAAACCCCGTCTTAAAAAAAAAAAAAAAAAAAGCCAGGACCCAGCACTGTTTGGTCTGGGGCAGGTTAGCAGGACATCAGGAAAAGGCCTCTGCCTCCTCATTTCTCAGAGACTGTCTAGTTTGGAGGGCTTAGGAGGCAAGAGTAGACCAATAGTAAGAAACCAAAGAGAAACAGATTCAACTTTTCATAGTAACAGCAGCCCAAGCCAACCACCCACAGTGCTCTAGGCCGTATGCATTGTTTATGTGAATACTCAAAATTGCTCCATGAGGTTAGGTGTTCTGGATCCTGCTTTGCAGAGGAGGAAACTGAGGTTCAGAGAGATTAGGTAACTTGCACAGTTACAGAAAGCTGAGATTCAGACCCAGGTTTGCCCGACTCCCAAGCCTGTGCTCAAAACCACCTCTGTGCTTCCTCTCTTTGGAAAACTCTTTCTTTCTTTAAAATACAGAGATGAGGTTTCTCCATGTTGGTCAGGCTGGTCTCGAACTCCTGACCTCAGGTGATCCGCCCACCTCAGCCTTCCAAAGTGCTGGGATTACAGGCGTGAGCCACAGTGCCCGGCCAAGGAAACTCTTGCAGTTGAGAACCAGCTCACAGTGTAGGGTGAGGAACGTCCCCAAACAAGACAGAGGCAAGACCACTGCTCTTGGGATTTTCATTGTTCACTTATCTTAGCACTGGGAGGGTATGTGAACTGCCAATTCTCTTCTCATTTTGAGATTCTCTTTCTCTTTCTGTCTTTCTTTCTTTCTTTTTTTGACAGAGACTTGCTCTGTACCCCAGACAGGCTGGAGTACAGTGGCGCAATCTTAGCTCACAGCAACCTCCACCTCCTGGGTTCAAGTGATTCTCCCATTGAGATTCTATTTCTTTTAGAGAATTAGTAATGGTACTTGCCTGGCCCAGGCTAGAGTGCAGTGGCACAATCTTGGCTCATTGCAACCTCTGCCTCCCTGGGTTCAAGCGATTCTCCTGCCTCAGCCTCCCACATACCTGGGATTACAGTTGCGTGCTGCCCGGCTAATTTTTGTATTTTCAGTAGAGACAGGGTTTCACCATGTTAGGCCAGGCTGGTCTCTAACTCCTGACCTCAAGTGGACTGACCTCAAGTGCTAGGATTACAGGGATAAGCCACTGCGCCTGGTAGCAGAGGTTCTATCGGCACCTTAGGTATTACTTCCTCTGTTTGACAGATGAAGAAATTGAAACCCAGAGGTGAAAGTGGCCATTCAAATCCTGGGCGCCCCTAGGAGTCAGGATGTTGGACACAGGGCTTAACAGGGCCTGCACTCCTATCCTGAACTTCCAGATCTGTGGCTGCCAGCCCTGTGGCATGGATGGGGAAGAGCCTGGCCAAGACCCCCAGAGCCTGAACAAGAAGCCTGGGAGTGTGGCCACTGCACAGGATGGGTTCTGGAGCTCACGCCCTTGCCAGGCCACTTCCAGCATTGGAAGTCCATCAGCCCTGGCTTTGAATCCTACCTCCAATATGCTCTAGCTGTGTGGCCAACAGTGGGCAAGTCATTTACCTCTTGGAACCTCATCTGTGAAATGTGGAAGATTGATTCCTACCTTATGGGGCTGTGATGAGGATTTCATGAGAGGATAACATAGTAGTGCCCTTGGCATGGCGCCTGTCACTTAGTCAGTGCTCTGTAATCAGCAGCTGGTATTATTATAACAGTTTATCATGCATCTGTCTTCCCACCTGAAACGTGGGACAGTAATTCCTGTCAGACTGGCTTGAAGGACATGGTGTCGTCTGTGTGAGCTGTGGGGTCATTATAGGTGGCATTACTGCCACTCAGAGGCCAGCCCAGCCCTACAGGGGTACAGAGACACACCCAGTTCCCAGCACCAGGGGAAGCTGGATGACAGCTTCAATCCATCAGTGATAGGCCTCAGTCCAGCCTGACTTTATAGACCCCAGGGGTACTTAAGTCTGTGGGGGGTGAAGTCTAGCCCAGTTCTTCCTCCACACGGCTGCTGCCCAGAGCAGGCAGGCAGGTATGGGATGGGGGTAGGAGTGCCCTGGGCCTTGATAGACTAGTTAATCAGCTTCCAGAGCAAGGCTCCAAGGAATAGCAGTGGGTTTGGGCAGGAGCTGTGTCTCTTGTCCGCAGCAGTTTAGGATCTGGTTATCCCTAGCCCTGCAGACTGAAGAGGAGCTTGAGGAAGCCTCATGCATGAAGGGACATAGATCTCAGTTCTACCTTGCCCAACTCTAGCCTGGTTTTGCCGTGTACTGCTGAGTTCTGCAGGGGATGGGGTGTGCTTTTCTGCTCTGCAGGCTCCTGCCCTCTTTCCACTGATGCAGGTGAAGGCTGGGGTGTGTGAGACCAGAGTGGAAGGGAGGTTGTCTGGGGAACTAAAGGACAGCCCTGGGGGCAACTCTTGTTACCTCCTGCCCCAGGATCTCAGCACCATGACGGTTTCATACACTCTCAAAGTAGCAGAGGCCCGCTTTGGAGGTTTCTCTGGACTTCTTCTTCGATGGAGGGGAAGCATCTACAAGCTCCTCTACAAGGAATTCTTCCTCTTTGTGGCCTTGTACGCTGTGCTTAGCATCATCTACCGGTAAGGTTAGGCTCTTAGAGCTTGCAGAAGCGGGGAGACTGGGCCACCCACCTCCCTCTAACCCAAGCCTATACCTGTCTTCCCCAGGCTGCTGCTGACCCAGGAGCAGAGGCATGTGTATGCTCAGGTAGCCCGGTACTGCAACCGCTCAGCGAACCTCATCCCTTTGTCCTTTGTACTGGGTAAGGCCCCCTTCTAGTTTTTCCTGTATCCTCCTTACTGTCTTCCCTGACCTCTGGGTTGGGTTGACAGCTCCAAGGATCAGAATTATCCAATAGATGGTGTGGTGGTGCACCTGCAGTCTCAGCTACTCAAGAGGCTGAGGTGAGAGGATCGCTTGAGCCCAGGAGTTCCAGTCCAGCCTCCGAAATGTAGCAAGACTCCCCTAAAAAAAAAAAAAAAAAAAAAGAATCACTCAACAGAGTGGCAGAGCCTGGTCAGCCAGAGCAGGCCCAGCAGGCACCGGAGCTGGGAGCTGGGTCCAGGGCTTCTGGAGGGCAGGGCCCTATCACTTCCGGGACCCTCACTTCCAGCAAGGCACAAGACACCTGCTGGCTTCACAAGCCCACCCTGGGCACTGGAGGGGAGCTGGACAGAGGTGACAACCCCTTCCCCATCCTCCTGGGAAGCAGTCTCCTGGCTTTGAACCCCCACTTTCCCTCTGCTGAAGGAAGTTTGCCCTCTTCCCTCCTCCTGGTCTGGCACGGCAGGGCACTGGAGCCGAATATTTCCTTCCCCCTGCCACGATTCAACTGGCCTGGACTAGGGCCTCTGCTGGGGGAGGCGAGGCGCTCCGACTTCCAGGTTCTCCACCTTCCCTTCCTATTCCCTCTACCATGGCGGCCAAGCAGGTTTCTATGTGACTCTGGTGGTGAACCGCTGGTGGTCTCAGTACACAAGCATCCCTCTGCCAGACCAGCTGATGTGCGTCATCTCTGCCAGCGTGCACGGCGTGGACCAGCGGGGCCGCCTGCTGCGCCGCACCCTCATCCGCTACGCGAACCTGGCTTCCGTGCTGGTGCTGCGCTCGGTCAGCACCCGCGTGCTCAAGCGCTTCCCCACCATGGAGCACGTGGTGGACGCAGGTGCGCCGCTTGCCGGAAGCCTCTGTGGGGCCGGCCCACGGCCGGATGCAGGTGCTGTTTGGCAGAGGCTGGGAACAGGGGCCTCCAGGGAAGGGTCTGGACCGCGACCAGGACGCGGAACCGCGAGTCCTGGGACGGCCGGTGGACGCGAGGGAGGGCAACCAGACAGCGGAACAGCAGCCTCCCCTGGCGGCAGAGGGTGCAACTGCACCCCACCCGGTTTACTCCCGCAGGTTTCATGTCCCAGGAAGAGAGGAAAAAGTTTGAGAGCCTGAAATCCGACTTCAACAAATATTGGGTGCCCTGTGTGTGGTTCACCAACCTAGCGGCCCAGGCCCGGAGGGACGGGCGAATCCGTGACGACATCGCTCTCTGTCTACTTTTGGAAGTGAGTCAGCCCCGGACCGGACCCATCTGCCCTCCTCCCTCTTATTTTGAAGGTGACTAATAATTTTTGTGCCTAACATTTGTATGGCACCAACTGTGTACTCCGGCCTTTTAGAAGCACTGTAGATATGTTAACTCATTCATCCCTTACAGCAACTTTTGAGATAGGTACTATCATCCTCCTTGTACAGATGCGGAAACGGAGGCACAGAATGGAAATGAAACTTGCCTAAGTTACACACCTAGTTAGCAGAGCTGGGATTCAAGCACCCCAGTCTAATACACCTCTGAGGGCAGAATGGGAATGAGCCTCCTGGCTGGGCCCAGGCCTAGTTTGTGCTGGGCGCCCCTGTTCCTTCCTCACTTCTGCTGACTTCCTGTTCCTGCTGTTCCCCCAGGAGCTGAACAAGTACCGAGCCAAGTGCAGCATGCTATTCCACTATGACTGGATCAGCATCCCCCTCGTCTACACCCAAGTAATTGCCTCTCCTCTCCCCGGTCCCAGTGCCTACCATATGTCCTGTGCTGTGTGTGAGATGAGAAGAATTAGAGATGGTACTTGCCTGGCCATTTCAATCCCCTGAGGCATTGGGTTCATCCTCAAAGCCTCCCTCCAGCCCCACCAAGGTGACCCTGTCCCCACTGGTGCTGCCACACCAGGATACATATTTAATTGCTTGTCAGACTTCCCATAGAGCCTCATAGGCAGGGGTGGCATTTCTTCCTGTCCCGCTGAACCCTGCTCTGAGCCTGGCTCTTCCTTCCCCAGGTCGTGACCATAGCTGTCTACTCCTTCTTTGGCCTCTCCCTGGTTGGCCGACAGTTTGTGGAGCCAGAGGCAGGGGTTGCCAAACCTCAGAAGCCTCTGGAGTCAGGCCAGGAGCCAGCCCCGGCCCTGGGAGACCTGGACATGTATGTGCCTCTCACCACTCTACTGCAGTTCTTCTTCTATGCTGGCTGGCTCAAGGTGGGCACTGCAGATGGGCATACCAGCCTGTCCTGTAGAGATGTGAGCACAGGATCTGCCCCAACTTTGGGGAAAAAAATGTGGGGCTCTGAGCCCAGAAAACACTGTCTTTGCCACCTACAGGTGGCTGAACAGATCATCAACCCATTTGGTGAGGACGATGACGACTTTGAGACAAACCAGCTCATAGACCGCAACTTGCAGGTGAGCAAGGATCAGGAGTCGGGGACAGCTCCTGAGCTCCCTCTTCAGAGGGTCAGCTCTCAGCCCCTCCGTGGGAAGGAAACGAGAGGAGGATCCTTGTGACTTGCTGCTGGCCCAGGTGTCCCTTCTATCCGTGGACGAAATGTACCAGAACCTGCCCCCCGCCGAGAAGGACCAGTACTGGGATGAGGACCAGCCGCAGCCACCCTACACTGTGGCCACGGCGGCCGAGTCTCTGCGGCCCTCCTTCCTGGGCTCCACCTTCAACCTGCGGTGAGTGGCCCGTGCTGGCGGAGACCGCACCTGACTCGGCACGCGTGTCCCCGCTCAGCCTCTGGGACACCAATGCCTCGGTCCCTCCCAGAGAGCCAATCCCGCCTCCCCACGCCCCGGCTCAGCCCGCCCTCTCGCCCGCAGCATGAGCGACGAACCTGAGCAGAGCCTGCAGGTGGAGGCGTCGCCCGCGTCGGGTCGGCCCGCGCCCGCCGCGCAGACCCCGCTGCTCGGCCGCTTCCTGGGCGCAGGGGCGCCCTCCCCGGCCATCAGCCTCCGGAACTTCAGCCGCGCGCGAGGCACCCCCCGCACCCCGCATCTGCTTCGCCTCCGGGCCGAGGAGGGCGGAGACCCCGAGGCCGCATCCCGCATCGAAGAAGAGGCGGCGGAGTCCGGGGACGAGGCCCTGGAGCCTTGAGGTCTCGCCTGCCCCCGCCTGCTTCCCCACACACACTGCCCCCCTTCCCTGCCATGCGCGGTCCTGCTTGCCAGTTCTATTAAACCAGCTTTTCCTGAGTGCCTTGAAGGCCAAAGCATTTAGGGACAGAACTTGAAAAAGAAGATGACAGGAAGGGCCTGGGCCAGGTCTGGGAATGTGTCCACTTTGGTGGTAGAGAAGGTTGGATGGGTTGCTTAGGGGAGGTGAAATTAGAAAAATAAAAGCCTAGCCACAGAGGACCAGGTGTAAGGTTAGCTTCACAGCAACGGGAAGTTAGGCCAGTGGTTCTCAAACTTGAGTAAGGATCAGCATCACTGAAGCTCTTGTCAAAAGAGTGCATTAGATTTGGGATGGTGCCCGATAACTTGCATTTCTAACAAGTTCCCAGGTGACGCTGTGCTGCTGGTCCAGGAAGCGCAATCTGAGAGTCACGTGAAGCAGTGCTTGAAGAGGTATACGTTACCCTGGTAACCTTACTCAGAAGAGGCATCCCTGTGTGCTGGGGGACTTCTGCCTTATCTGTAATGTTCAAGTTTTTGTTTACATTGAGAATATATTCAAGTTTTTCTTTAACTTTTGTTTTTGTTTACACTGAGAATATATTTATTAGTTGTGCAGTTATAATTGTTTAAAATTGAATTGGCATGGGTGCAGTAGGATGAAGATGAAGGAAGGGTTTGGGAATCTGTTTTGGAGCTGATTAAAGTCAGATATGAAGGCAGCTATCCAGCACCCACCCTAGACCTAGCATTGGGATTTCAATGTGCCAAGCCCTTCTCCACTCCCACCAACCACACAGGGAGAACAAGTACAGTTTATGGGTGGAAGCCCAGGCCCATCTCCATGGTGGGCCTGCAGCACTGGGGTCACTCAGCTGATCTAAGAAAAGAGCCTTCTGGGGTCAGGCACAGTGGCTTAAACCTGTAATCCCAACACTTTGGGAAACCAAGGTGGGCGGATCACCAGAGGACAGGAGTTAGAGACCAGCTTGGCCGACATGGTGAAACCCTGTCTTTACTAAAAATACAAAATTCAGTTGATTGTGATGGTGGATATCTGTAATGCCAGCTGCTTGGGAGGCTGAGGTGCAAGAATTGCTTGAACCTGGGAGGCGGAGGTTGCAGTGAGCCAAGATCACGTCACTGTACTCCAGCCCTCAGTTAGAGCCAGACTCTGTTTCCAAAAGCACACAAAACCTTCTGGAAATAATCTCCCACAGAGCACTACATTGGAATTGCGGTAAAACTGTGCTCCTTTAAGATTGCTGCCTTCTAAGTCCCAGTCTCGACCTAAAGAAATTAGTGAAGGCCAAAACTGAATTTTTTTTTTTTTGAGATGGAGTTTCGCTGTTGCTACCCAGACTGGAGTGCAATGGCACGATCTCGGCTCACCGCAACCTCCACCTCCTGGGTTCAAGCAATTCTCCTGCTTCAGCCTCCTGAGTAGCTGGGACTACAGGTGTGCACCACCATGCCCAGCTAATTTTTGTATTTTTAGTAGAGACGGGGTTTCACCGTGTTGACCAGGATGGTCTCGATCTCTTGACCTCGTGATCCACCCGCCTCAGCCTCCCAAAGTGCTGGGATTATAGGCGTGAGCCACCATGCCAGGCCCCAAAACTGAATATTAAGGCCACAGGATAAATCCCAGAACAAAGGAGGAAGACAGAGGGGGACACTAGAGTGCAGTGAGTAGACTCCAGCCTCTGGCAAGGTCAGTTGACTGCATTCTAATGCTGGCTTTGCTTCTTTCCATCTGTACGTCCACAGGATAGTGAATATTCTAACTAAGCCACAGTTTCCAAATCTATAATGTGGAGACAGTAGCACCCAACAATGAGAGCCATTCATTCAGAAGGTATTTGAGGATTTTTTTTTTTGGCGGGGGGGAGTTTCGCTCTTGTTGCCCAGGCTGGAGTGCAATGGCACATTCTCGGCTCACTGCAACCTCTGTCTCCTGGGTTCAAGTGATTCTCCTGTCTCGGCCTCCTAAGTAGCTGGGATTACAGGCATGTGCCACGACGTCCGGCTAATTTTTTGTATTTTTAGTAGAGATGGGGTTTTCCCATGTTGGCCAGGATGGTCTCGATCTCTTGACCTCGTGATCCACCCGCCTTGGCCTCCCAAAGTGCTGGGATTACAGGTGTGAGCCACCGTGCCCAGCCAGTATTTGAGGATTTTTTGGGGCAGCTTTTACAGGCCTTGTTCCATGGTGACAATGGTCATCTGTGAAGGTGGTAGAAATAGAGAGTAGACGGATTTCAAGACTTTAGAGATAGAACCCACTGGTTTTATGAACATATCTTGGCTCACTGCAACCTCTGCCTTCCCGGGTTCAAGCAATTCTCATGCCTCAGCCTCGTGAATAGCTGGGATTACAGATCTGTGCCACCATGCCCCGATAATCTTTTGTATCTTTAGTAGAGATGGGGTTCACCATGTTGGCCAGGCTGGTTTTAACTTCTGACCTCAAGTCCACCTCAGCCTCCCAAACTGGCCAAACTTAATAAAATCTCAAGAATGTTTTCCCAATTAATCTGCATATATTCGAGCACCTAATAAATGTCCATACACTTTTCCAGGTGCCAGACACACAGCGGGAAACAAATATCCTTGTTTCCCTGAAGTAACATTCCAAAGGGAAGAGAGCAAACTTTGTCAGATTAAGGAATAAAGAGAAAAAATCGGCAAAGTATGAGACAGTTTGGAGGGGCAACTGCAACTTAAAATATTGTGATCCGGTAAGAACTCACTCGGGTGACATAGCAAAGACCTGAAGGGGAATGAATCAGGTTTTGTTTTTTTTGAGACGGAGTTTCACTCGTTACCCAGGCTGGAGTGCAATGGCACGATCTCGGTTCACCGCAACCTCTGCCTCCTGGGTTCAGGCAATTCTCCTGCCTCAGCCTCCCGAGTAGCTGGGATTTCAGGCACGCGCCACCATGCCCAGCTAATTTTTTGTATTTTTAGTAGAGACGGGATTTCACCATGTTGACCAGGATGTTCTCAATCTCTTGACCTCGTGATCCACCCACCTCGGCCTCCCAAAGTGCTGGGATTACAGGCGTGAGCCACCGCGCCTGGCCAGGTTGTCTTTAGAGACAGGGTCTCACTTTGTTGCCCAGGTTGGTCTCAATCTCCTGGCCTCAAGCAAGCCTCCCAAAGTACTGGGATTACAGGCATGAGCCACCATGCCCAGCGTCCAGCCCCAGGTGGATATTTGAAGGCATGTGCCTAGCAAAGGGCATAGCATGTGTACATGTATGTTCACTAAGCCAGGATGGTTGTGTGGTTGATGGAGTCACTATAGGAGCTAGATCACATTGTCATACTTGATAAGGATTTTCATGGATGAGATGGGAAGCTGTTACATTAAAAACATAATCTTAAAGCCTGCTATCGGCCTGGCGCGGTGGCTCAAGCCTGTAATCGCAGCACTTTGGGAGGCCGAGGCAGGTGGATCACGAGGTCAAGAGATCGAGACCATCCTGGTCAACATGGCGAAACCCCATCTCTACTAAAAATACAAAAAATTAGCTGGGCATGGTGGTGCGTGCCTGTAATCCCAGCTACTCGGGAGGCTGAGGCAGAATTGCCTGAACCCAGGGGGCGAAGGTTGCGGTGAGCCGAGATCGCGCCATTACACTCCAGCCTGGGTAACAAGAGCAAAACTCCGTCTCAAAAAAAAAAAGCCAGGTGTGGTGGCTCACACCCGTAATTCTAGCACTTTGGGAAGCTGAGGCGGGTTGATCACAAGGTCAGGAGTTCAAGAGCAGCCTGGCCAAGATAGCGAAACCCTGTCTCTACTAAAAATACAAAAAAAAAATTAGCTGGGCATGGTGGTGGTGGGCCCCTGTAATCCCAGCTACTCGGGAGGCTGAAGCAGAGATTTGCCTGGTCTTGGGAGGCAGAGGTTGCAGTGAGCTAAGATCCTGCCACTGCACTCCAGCCTCTGCGACAGAGCTAGACTCCATCTGAAAAAAAATTTTTTTTTGGCTGGGTGCGGTGCCTCACGTGCATAATCCCAGCACTTTGGGAGACCAAAGCAGGATTGCTAGAGCCCAGGAGCTCAGGATTAGCCTGAGAAACATAAAACCCCATCTCTACAAGAAAATTATCATTCTGGGCACTGCACCATAGCTGTAGTCCCAGCTACTCAGTAGACTGAGGCTGTATTGAGCAATGATTGCTCCACTGCACTCCAGCCTCGCCAAAAGTTTGAGACCCTGACTCTTCAAACTGAGGAACATGGCAGGTGGGAACAGACAAGATACCAGTTTTGAAAATGTTGGCCTTTTGAGAGCCCTATTACAGTATCTAAGCACAAAGTTGGGCATGGTGGCTCATGCCTGTAATTCCAGCACTTTGGAAGGCCAAGGCAGGTGGATTACTTGAGAACAGGAGTTGGAGACCACCCTAGCCAACAGTGAAACCCTCTCTACTAAAAATACAACATATTACTTGGGCATGGCAGTGCATGCCTGTAATCCCAGCTACTCAGAAGGCTGAAGCATGAGAATTGCTTGAACCCAGGAGGTGGAGGTGGAGGTTGCCGTAAGGCAAGACTGCACACCACTGCAATGCAGCCTGGGCAACCAAGTGAGACTGTCGTCAATAAAATCCAAAACAAAACCCAAGTGCAAAGCTGGGTGTCGTGGCTCATGCCTGAAACCCAACACTTTGGGAGCAAAGGTGAGACTGCTTAAGCCCAGGATTTCAAGACCTGGGCAATAAAATGAGACCGTCTCTACCCAATAAATAAATAATAGGTGCAGTGGTATGTGCCTATAGTCTCAGCTACTTGGGAGTCTGGCACAGAATTACTTGAGCCCAGATGTCAAGGCTGCAGTGAATCATGATCATGCCACTGCACTCCAGCCTGGCTGACAGAGACTATCTCAAAGAAAAAACTCAAGTGCAGATGTTAAGGGTTTGACAGGGCAAGTTTAAGTCAAAGAAGTGACCCTTGGGACACCAAGCAAGGCAGAAATCACTGGTAATCTTACAATAGATGCAACACAGCCTGAGATTCTAATCATGACTCAGCACACAATTGAACCCCAAGGTTGAGATACCCCTTTCACAGCCTCTGCAACATCCCTAGTCCCACCAAAATGTGGTGAGAAATGTTCCTCCATTATAGACATAGCCTACATAATAAATCCGGCCTTTGGGGAGATGGAGTTGAGAACAGGGACTTTATATAGTGTGGTGAGCCGATTAGGACAGTAGGAGGGAGAGGTTAGGCAAGGGGTTGCAGCCACTGTATCTCATCAATTTTACAGGGGCAAGAAAAGCAGAGAAACAAATACTTAGGCAACACAAATGTGTGAACAGAACAATACACACCTTTATTACATGGGTGAAGAGAGAAAACAAGGATTTATTTGCCTTTCCGGGCCTTGATTTTCCTAAGATAGAACTCCAACTCTTTGCCCTCTAGCACATAGCCATCTGCTCGGCCACACTGTCCCGGCCTTGAAGCGATGCATGCTGCAAGAGAGTACATGGTTCTTCGCACAACGACAAGGTGGCTCTACCCAAACCTCTCCATAGTTTCAGGTATCCTGGGGG